TGAGTGTCTCACTTGCATTACAACGCCGCTCTAGAAGTTAAATGACGTTGCATGAGAGATTATCGCATAGCGAGAATGCTAAATTATTAATAAATATAGATCAAGTTTGTAAATTTTTTAAATTTTTAATTCACATACAAACTTTGCGTTTTAGTATTTTAAATTTTAACATGTGACGTCACAAAAGTATTGACCCCCCCATGCCCCTTGTCACACGATGTCACACTTCGGTGATACCCCCCCTCCCCATTAACGTGTGACGTACTTTATGGATGGCCCCTAAGTTCTAAGGTCTCAGTATAGTTACAACGACTGCCCCACCCTTCAAACCGAAACGCATTACTGCTTCACGCCAGAAATAGGCAGGGTGGTAGTGCCTACCCGTGCGGACTGACAAGAGGTCCTACCACCAGTAAAAATGATATAAAATGTGATATAAAAATCACTAAATGTAAATCAAATTATTTTGAGAAAATTGTTTTGAGCATCAACTTTGAACTATTCAAGCCTTGTTACTATACCTACTAAATAATTAGATTTACGACTACTTTGTATGAAGCCACATGTCACTCGCAACTCGCTTCTCCGACGTGACCTCATTTCACTAGCTTGATAATGCAGACACTGGAAATTGGAGTTGTAACATCCGAACCGATACCAATCAATCAGTATAGATTCTTTGCGAAAGTTTCGGTCTGTCGAGACTCTAGGCCGTCTATACATAAATGGTACGTTTCAGTTCGAAGAGCAGATTGTAACTAATCTTATACCCGACTAGCTGTACCCGTCCGCTTCGCTGGGCATTTAAAATTAACATTATTATTTCTCAAAAGATTCTCATCATTAATGCCGCCGCAACTAGTGTAGGGAGTCCAATATTCGTATAAATATTAGCCTATCCATTAAGAACATGTATTTTCTACATGGATACCAAGTTTCAAGTCAATCGGATGCATGGTTCAGTAGTTATAACGGAACATCCGTAAAAACCACTGTAGATTTATATATTAGTATTATTTAAAGTTACTCAGAGGGAGTTCATCCATGGTAGGACCTCTTGTGAGTCCGCACGGGTAGGTACCACCGCCCTGCCTATTTCAGCCGTGAAGCAGTAATGCGTTTCGGTTTGAAGGGTGGGGCAGCCGTTGTAACTATACTTCTCAGTATAGTTACAACGGAACTTATTACTTAGAACTTATATCTCAAGGTGTGTGGCGCATTTACACACACATCTAGGCAATAAAAAAAAAACCATCTAGACTCGCTGACGAGCTGACGTCATTGAGTGACGGTAACCATTCACCACTAAATGGACCGCGATCTCGTCTGCCTAAAAAGACAACAAAAACGAGAATGCTTTAAAGATCATTCGTTCATTTTCCTATCCACATAGATGTTATAGAATCATCTATTGGCGCGTCTTGTCAGGAAAATCGAACCGTGGGCCGTGATTGCAAACGCTTTTTTTTTTTTTTTTTTTTTTTTTTTTTNTTTGTCGGCAGATGTACCACGAACACAGAAACAACAAAAGGAAACAAAACAAATAAAAACTTCCAGAAAGAGCACTTAGTCGGCAGATGTACCACGAACACAGGCCGCGCGAACAATGGCCGGGCTAACAAAAGCCGGGCGAACAAAGACCGGGCGATCGAGTGGACGATGAGCACGTCCGCACGTGACGGGTGCCTCTATCGGAAATGATTGCAAACGCATGTCGCTCTATCAGGCTGTCGCTTCTCTTCCACGCCACCGCTCTCGACACCGTGCATGTGTGCGTGCGTGTACTAGACACTGCGTTACTTCGCTGTGTGAGTCGTGTACTGCGTGTGGCTTTATTTTACAGCAGGTTTCTCCTGGTGAAACTGGAAAGGCATCTGGGCCATCAGTAATCACTCATTAAAAAAAAAGATGTGTGGTGTCATGGGACACCGGATAGGAACGAAGTTCCTTATTATAAAAATATTAATTTTAAGTTCTATTCGAGGTATAAAGAAAAAAATTATTCGGGTATACATTTTTTATTATGATTTTTTTATTGATAAAAAAAAACTACTTCACAAAGCTATCAACTTTATTTTATTCACAATGATTTATAAAAAATATATTATAATAATATACAAAGAAACAGCTATTTATATGAATAATAATAATAACCGTCATCACGTAGACTATACATTAGACACTGTATAGCCATCATACTAAGACTATACATAAATAATAAAAATATTACGTTACGGACGTTTTTTCCCTGTTAGGGTACCCCTCCGCATCGTCCCCTATGGAACTTCGTTCCGAAAATTCAGCACATTTCTTTAATGGCTTTCGTTAGTTCTAAATTCTACTGTTCAAATCTATCAACTCTGACATGTAACATCTGCCAGACGTCCCGTTTTAAATCTATTTGATGTCAATGTCAAGAATTATTTTAGTTAATAAAACATTTTCATTATTGGAGACAATTAAGTATTCTAAATGCACAAAAAAGGACTGTACTCTTAACAGACATAATTCCTATACTCGAGAACTCGAACATAAAATGTCAATACGATGGAACAAGCATGATGTCTATGTTATTATGGAGAGCGGGTGAAGATTACAATTTCAAAATCGTAACGTTTTTTTATGATAGTACTTTTGGTTAGACCAACGCTAGACTAACTTAGCATTTGATATATGCTTATGATGGACATGACGATTGAATACCGGCACCGACCTCAACTTGAGGTCTAAGCCTCAATAATCTAGTTTGAAGAATTATCAAACCGGGAGGCACAGCTGCGACTGAAACAGACATTTTGGTAATAATGATAAGCAGGCTAAATATGCTCTACGGTCAGTGGTGTAAAATGATTGCAAACTCTTTAAAGTACGACTTTACAGATGCTCTTAAATTGGCCTGACTTTACCACTGATTCGAAACACCGCTTCCCCCTGAGAAGAATAGACAAAAGGGTTTGCTCTATTCTAAATGCATGTCAAGGTCGATGGGCCATCTCATTGCTAGGGACAGGGAAAGGCAAGAGACCGAAGGGAACGGAATGCATGTGAAGAGCAGCAGATATTCAGCATTGGGTGGACACGGGTTGGAGAAAATAAAAAAGAGGGAAGAGAAATTTATGTCATCAATGAAAAATTACAGCTTAGTAACAGTTCTTCATACGATTAGCGACTTAGTATTTTACTTACTCATTAATGATAGGTACACATTGATTAATCTCCATTATTATTAATAGATAGCGCTATTGCAGCTCAAATTCTAGTTGGCTTTATCGCAGTGAGCATACTGATAACTTAGCTGTAGGTATGCTAAATTTTAACCTGAAGAAAAAATAAAATTTGTTCCCAAACGCTTCGTCGTGACTTCCGCTCCTGTCTCGTACCCTGACCTAAAAAGCAAATATTATGAATTTTTTTTTCAGAAACAGCACCCCGGTGGTTGAAAATGGGTAAATAAAAAAAAATTAAACTGTGTAAAGGTCAGGAGAGAGAGATAGAACCACAACGAGATATTACACGTATAATTAGAACTTACCTTGCCACGTTTTGTTTGTTACATAACACTCGTGTGGAAAGTTGTTATGTATATTGCCTAAATAAATATTGGTATTCTTGGGGTGGTTGCTTCAAACGATTAACGACGAAATTATAAATTGTTTAATATGATTCAAGAAACAAAACCTTTTATGTTCAGGTAAAACTTTACATAAGGTTTTAAATCGTTATGATCTGTTTGCACTGTTGCTCTGTGAAACACAATTTCTAAATCACAGGGTTTTATCAAACAGTTTGTCGCCCATTTTATTTTTAGTGAAATTTAACCATACTTTCGCTGTTAAGGTACTTTTAATTTTAATTTTAAAACAGTGCAAATAAAGGTCTAAAAGAGCCTCGAGGAGTTGATTACATTAAACTGTGCCCTGGTTAAGGTACGAACTTTTAATTTTCTGTTGGCGACAGATATGCCTAACAACGTACACAAATCTGGGAAAGTCAATTTCAGGTTTTATTTTATAATATAAATGACTCGAATACTATCGAAGTCGAAGTCGAATACTGTTGAAGTCGTCGTGGCTTAAAGGATAAGACGTCCGGTGCATTCGTATGAAGCGATGCACCGGTGTTCGAATCCCGCAGGCGGGTACCAATTTTTCTAATGAAATACGTACTCAACAAATGTTCACGATCGACTTCCACGGTGAAGGAATAACATCGTGTAATACAAATCAAACCCGCAAAATTATAATTTGCGTAATCACTGGTGGTAGGACCTCTTGGGAGTCCGCACGGGTAGGTACCACCACCCCGCCTATTTCCGCCGTGAAGCAGTAATGCGTTTCGGTTCGAAGGGTGGGGTAGCCGTTGTAACTATACTGAGACCTTAGAACTTATATGTCGAGGTGGGTGGCGCATTTACGTTGTAGATGTCTATGGGTTCCAGTAACCACTTAACATCAGGTGGGCTGTGAGCTCGTCCATCCATCTAAGCAATAATAAAAAAAAACTAATTTTTTTGCAATATAAATACGCTCTTAATATCCAATCAGCCCTATAGGTCTTCCTAATTCTGTAATTGAAATTATTGAAATAGATAAAACGGGACGTTTCGACAACTGTCATTTGACTTATCCATATATTAATACGTGAAGCAAATATTTTGTACACCTTTTAACGAAAATTGCACGGACGGAGGAGTATGAATTCCCACACATATAGAGAATATAGAGAAGGAGTGCAGAATTTTAATATTTTTTTAAATTATGCATTAAAAAAATACATTAAATAAATAAATAAAAACATTACACACACCACCATGTATTTGACACAAACACGTATGCACACTATTTCTTTATTGTAAAATCCTTGGACACCTTTTGCGATTTGAAATCTGATACTAGAAATCAAGTTGGTTAATTTCTTAGAAGCTCCCCGTAAAACACAAACATCAACATCGCTCAGTTTTCTTGCTATAAGTACAACAACTGTTTTTTTTTTCATTTTAGAGCCAACTGTGGGACGAATTCGAGTTAGAGGACGCAACTTTTGCCGAGTGTGGCAACACCAACACGAACAACGGATTTGAGGTAAGTTAGTCCATATTCGGGCAACCAATTAATAAGGCTTTATGGAAACTGAAAGGTCCATGTTGAATGCACTTGTATCAATTTTCTTAGCCGAATTCTCCTGTCCCCATAAATAATAATGTAATAAAATGTAACTAATTTTTTTTCGGAGGATAACGAGTGTGAACCTTTTGAATTCAAAGCATTACGTACATGTAAATATTTCTCATAGGTTTTTGCGTAATGCTCGACCTAAGAAAAACAAAATAGATAGATAAAAATGTTGATTTGGAATAGAGTCATCAAAGATACAAATCGTTTTTTACAGATATTTTTTTGTTATACATATTTTCATTATACCCAATTTTTTTTATTACGGTAAAGGTTCAGTACCTATTTTCGGTGGAGTAATTAATTATAACTGACATTTCTGTGAATTAAATTTGAAATGTTATTTTGTAATCACAAATGCCTTGCGGCACAGAAACTTTGGGTCAATCCAAACCCTTTGCCGTTGTAATGAAAACATTTTCCTCAATCAGCTTTGTAATTAACTTGTTTAGGAACAATTGTTCATCTGAAAGTTGAGTGAGTGTGGTATATTTGTCAACATTACAGGCTTGGTTATCGATCATTTGATATTTTCGAAATTGTGGTTAGGTTTTCGATTTCTACAATCATCTTTATCATCAGAATTATTTCTAACGATTTTTTATGAATAAATAAATGATGTCGTCGTGGCCTAAAGGATAAGACGTCCGGTGCATTCGTATGTAACGATGTTCGTGTTCGTGTTCGAATCCCGCAGGCGGGTACCAATTTTTCTAATGAAATACGTACTTAACAAATGTTCATGATAGACTTCCACGGTGAAGGAATAACATCGTGTAATAAAAATCAAACCCGCAAAATTATAATTTGCGTAATAACTGGCGGTAGGACCACTTGTGAGTCCGCACGGGTAGGTACCACCACCCCGCCTATTTCTGCCGTGTGAAGCAGTAATGCGTTTCGGTTTGAAGGGTGGGGTAGCCGTTGTAACTATACTGAGACCTTAGAACTTATATCTCAAGGTGGGTGGCGCATTTACATTGTAGATGTCTATGGGCTCCAGTAACCACTTAACACCAGGTGGGCTGTGAGCTCGTGCACCCATCTAAGCAACAAAAAAAAAAGTCAGTATCACATGAAAGTAGAGAAAAGGCAAAAATAATATCAACGCTATTCGTTAATCTCTAACGTTTCTGATGTCAATCAATTAATAAAGTGGTCTAATAATAAAGATTACCTTATTAACCAGCACCTTGGTACGAGAATTTATGTTTGTTTGTTTATAACGAAATCTTTGAACGTCATTTCTATCGAGTTTGAGATGTCCGATTAAATAAACCGCATATATTTCTCGGTCAAGCTGATCCCCGTGATCTCACCTACCCACCCGTCCGTGCGTAGTTGCAAATAGCTCCTAAGACTACCAAAGATTAAAGATATAGATAGCCTTTATTAACAATTTATAAAAATGTTTTACATTTTTCCATCTTATTTTAATAGCTAAGGTGGGTAGGTATTAAAACTTAAATAAAATCCTCTTATTAGACATTCTTATTAGACACCGGTTTCTTGATCGTCTTGCTGTACAGCATAGGCATCCCCAATGATTCTCTATACCAGCGGTCGGGGAACTTTTTTAATTATTACCCCAAAATATTTTTGTGTAAGTTGATATTACCCCATGGCGAAGAACAAAAAAAAACGAAATCGCTTCTTTTTAGTATCTTTCATATTATAGCCCCCATGATAATTTTGAAAAGAAAAACAAAAAATTTAACGATTCTAAAGAAGTTTCACTTCAATATGTACACATTACTCACAAAAGTTTCATTTTTACCCCCCAAATTTTCATTTTACCCCGTTTGGGGTAATTTACCCCGGTTCCCCGACCGCTGCTCTATACCAACGATTCGTTAGGATTTTATTTCTGCAGTAGTGTGTGATCAAAGTTAAAAAAATGGAACATTAAACCTTACGAATCCACGCCTGGAAGGTATTGAGTGTGATTGACGAAGGCTCGGCGTCCCCTTCCGATGTCTACGTCATCCGTGAGAAGCTCAGTGACCCAGTGACCTAACTTGAAACATCTTGTCTTTTGGCTATAGTTGGCACGGGTTCCCCAATAATCATGTAATATTACATGACTAACGGAGTTTTTAGATACCGTAATGTTGAACTTGGCCGCGCACGTTGAGGCAAACACTTGGAGTCGAGTTTGCAATGAAATAATAGTTGTTTCATCATTCCAACCGAAAAGGATTGCTTGCTCTGAATATCTATTACCACTAATTATCCAAAATACACTGCTTATGTTGTACTTTATAGTATGATGTAGCATACCACTTGTTGAAACACGTTTTTAACCGACTTCAAAAAACAGAGAGTTTTTTAATTCGTCAGTGTTTTTATGTGTGTCTCAGAACGGTTTTTTCTGAGGTGAGCCGATTTTGCTGATTCTCGTTTCATTTGGAAGCTGTTGTCTCTCGTGAGGTCCCATTTAAATTTTATCAAGATAAGATCATTAGTCATGTATCATATTGATCATAGTGAATTACTTTGACAACATTGAATATTTCTCATTTTATTTCGTTTAACTCTGTATTCTTTTTTGTTAAATATTTTACTATGTTCGTCTTATATATCTGCATCTGCAGACTCACCCCCTTCAAATCGGAAAGCATAACGGCTTCGAAGTGAAAATATGCGGAATAGTCAGACATCTGGAGCTCTCACTCGAATCCCACACTCTTATTTGTGGTAGGGTGTACCGTAAGCCCATACCGGTAGATACGACTATCCTGGCTATTTTTGGCATGAAGCAGCCATAAATAGCAAAGGACGGAACATTCATTACGTCCAGCTCTTGATTCCACAATGTAATTGAGATTTTGTTCTCATGTTTCAAGATTGGCGGCGGCATTCGATTAACCGTGGGCAAGCCCAATCATTTCAGCCAATAATACATAAGTATTGAGTGTAAATCGGTATTAGCAAAGGCTGATGCTTGTCCGAGCAAAAGGGCTAAAATTATTTCTCTTTTGACAAGAAACTCACCGATTCTATTCATATATATTACAGTACCCTATTAGCTGTTGGTAATTGCAATTCGTATTTTATCCAACTTTTGGGTTTCGTTCATGTCATCGAGGTTAATTCGGGAAAGACCTCAATCGGTCTCGCTGAATGTTTTATGCAACGGCTAAACAATCGATCTCGGCCCATTTTCTTTTTAAAACGGATTCGTTTTTTTTTTATATCGGAAAGTTTGAATAAAAATTTAAGTTGAAAGATTTTTTATCAGTACGATTGAGTAGATGAAGCTTTTAACTAATTTTTTTGCTCGAGTTGCTCACAAGCTCCCGATCTACCTGATGATAAGCGATTTTTACCGACTTTAGACCTTTTTTTTTGGGCAGGGGGCTGAATCTCACACGGGGTGTCCGCTCCTAGGGGGCCTTAGGGTTTGTGAAATTTGACGATTTGTAGATGTTGAGAGCAGACCGCGGATCCAACGATATTTTTAAGGCTATACCCACCTAATGACTCCCATTGCACTCTCTCACCCGACATCCGATCTCCGCCGAAGGTCAGGACCCGGTCAGAGTAAGGGGGTTCCCGCGGTCAGCACTACAACCAGACTCGCGGCGTCACCCCCAGGACTCACGACCAACGGGTCGCCGATTAAATCGCAATTGTATTCTATGACAGCTGCCCCGTTCTTGAAATCGAAATGGCTGCATCACGGCAGAAATAGGCAGGATGGTGGTACTCACACGAATTGCTTTAAGGAATGAGGACAAATCTACTCGAAGGACGGTTGGGCTATTGAGATTATATTTTATCTTGATCAGGAGGCATTAAAAGGCGTAAAAATTGAAGCGCCTTTGTTGAAAAATCCATCAACGGCATATTAATACGACGTTCACAAATTGCGTAATGGGTTTTTTTTATTGCTTAGATGGGTGGACGAGCTCACAGCCCACCTGGTGTTAAGTGGTTACCGGAGCCCATAGACATCTACAACGTAAATGCGCCACCCACCTTGAGATATAAGTTCTAAGGTCTCAGTATAGTTACAACAGCTGCCCCACCCTTCCATCCGAAATGCGTTACTGCTTCACGGCAAAAATAGGCAGGGCGGTGGTACCTACCCGTGCGAACTCACAAGAGGTCCTACCACCATCAGTACAGTCAGAGTTCGCGCTCGGTGAGACCACAACTCGGTGGGTGTGGAGTATCCAAGCCGAGTATTTTTTTTATTGCCCTTGTAGGCAGACGAGCATACGGCCCACCTGATGATAAGTGGTTACCGTCACCCATGGACTTCAGCAATGCCGGGAGCAGAGCCAAGCCGCTGCTTACTGTTAAGTACTCTCCACAAGCCTCGTTTGAAGAAGGATATGTCATAGCGCTCGGGAAACACCGTGAAGGGGAGCTCATTCCAAAGCCGGATGATACGTGGCAAAAAAGATCTCTGGATGCGCACTGTGCATGTACGCAGTGGCTCCAGGTAGTATGGATGAACTCTACTCCGGTGACGGGCGGTGCGATCATAAAAACGATATGGTGGTATTATCTCAAACAATTCCTCAGAGCACTCCCCATCGATATCGAAGCCGAGTATCGATATCGTGCCCAGGAATGTGTCTCGACTTTGTCCCCCTACTGTATACGTGACTAAGTAAGTCGTCATGTCATGTGATCTTGCTTCGATCGATCTTGGACGCCAATCAATTTTTCTATTAGTGTACGAGGAATGTTTTTACGAACTATTTTCACCGGTCGATGTAGAACATTCGCCACTTCATTTGGCTTCATTGTTTTATTATCGTTATGACCCGGGACTTAGAATAAATAAAGAGCTCTTCACCTATGTATGTATTAAGTAAAACTCAATTTTGTTATTCATCATAAGCCTGCGGCAGTCCAGTGCTGGACATAGGCCTCCCCCAAAGCTCGCCACTGAACCC